ATTTCAAAAATGATACTTGATCAGGTTAATTGATTCCTTTTAGAAATAGATTCCGATATTATTTGATTAGTCATTAATTTTCTCTCAAGTTGAAAAATATGGTTTATTCCCTTTTCTGAGACTTAATTTTTTAAACAATTATAATTTTGAGTTCAATTTTTTTAGTTGTGTATCTTTGAAATAAAAAAGCAATGTATATGACTATTATAATTACACATAATGATATCCAATCAACATGCCCACTTATTGCAATGATAAACAACATATATTCACGCAACCGCGTTTTCGTTGCTAATCGCATTCAAGAGTTAGGGTTTTGAACAATCGTGCGTTCTATGTAATTCCTCATCCTTTTTCTCCCGGTAATTTAGTCCTCTCGCAAGTCCTCTCGCGAAGAGAACTGCCTCGCGTCTCGCTTATGCGAAATCGCAATTCGCTCGGCGCAGTAAGTGAGCTACGGGTGTAACCGGAGGCGAATGGCATTCGGCGTCATATTTCAGAATAATGTTCGGGCTTTACAACGTGGAAGAAGGGGGGCTGCTGAGCTCGAGTTATACGACGGCGGCATATTAATGCAGCAGCAGCGGTCGCGCCTCAAGGCCGAAAGGGCGCTGCACGGAATTTAAAGGCTCATTTTCGCGCAACATCAAACGTCATGATGCACGCGAAGATGTAACTACTGCAGCGACTCGTAATATTCGGTTCTCATTATAATATACTACAAGAACGTTGAGGAAAGAAAAGAGAAACTCTTGTATAATACAAACGATAAATAATTCAAATAATAATAATTATTTAACAATAAATATTTGTTAATGTAATAACACGAAAGAATGGTTGAGAGAAAACGGTTGTGAATTCATGTAATTCGGTAAAATTATTTCTATAAATATTTTATCTTTTATAATGTAATTTAATAATAATTTAATATCAAAGAGCCCTTTAAATACGCTCGACAGTCTCTGGATGTGTATATAACAAATGCAAATGTAAAAAGAGCGAAGCATCGTGGAGAAAATGCTTGAAGCTGCACGGTATTTTCTTCATAAGGGTATTCTCTCATATTTGTCTAACCATTTCCTTGTTTCTGTGTACAACAACTGAACGACATTATGCCGGAAGCGTAATTCGTATCTTCTTTCGAATAATTCGCAAACTTGTTGCAACAATCCTCTTCGCTCTCACCGACCGACCGGTTCCGCGTCTCCCGTGTCGGAAACGGAGGCGTAATTTGCATCATCCAGAGTAGTTTGAAAGTTTTAACGAGAGACACAGAGTCTCGCTTGTAGTCGGTGGGGCCTTCCCGAACTTTTGTATACTTCTGCAATTGTTACACGATTCTCTTTCGACTTCCAATGCTTCACTTAAAGTTTCCCTTTCCCCTTTTGCGCCCTTCTCTCATTTCCGGGACTGAGGATATTGTTACTTTCCTGTACTCTTACACGAAAACACTCGTAGATTCGCAAAATGTACGCGATTGCCTTGCGACACTTCCATAGAAGATAACATTCAATAAAAAACAAGAAAAAAAATTATCTCTTTATCCTTTTTCTAAAAAGAAAAGAATATTTATCATCGGATATCCTCAAAAAATATTTTTCGCAGTTTCCAGCAAAAAAATACCGGTAACGGCATAAAGACTAGTACTTGAAAAAATATCCGCGCAAAAACGATTTCGCTACTTTCAGCTTATCTCCCGCGCGTTTCGTGACCACTGAGCGAAAATGTTTTTTTCGAAAACTTACTCGTCTAACGTTAAGAGAGAGTGAGAGAGGGATATACACAAAATATTATCCGACAAGTCGAAAAGCGCCGTATCATCTCGGCCATTTAGAATCGATCCTCGCTGCAAGGAGATCTTTATCAAGTTTTCGCACCGCTTTAGGGCGGGAATGAATAAGCGAGTATGGCGAGAACGCGTTCGGTTAGTTGAGGATTCGCTGCCGCGAGTGGCGAATGATAGCTATGGATGGGGTGACTTTTGTATTCCCAGGAGCGGACATATTTTTCCTTTCTACAAGCCCCTTTTCCGCCTTCGCTTTTACATGGCGTGCCGACATTCCTCCGTGAGTTCAAAGCCTTTTTTGCCTGCCCTCTTTCCCGCTACTGTCTATACGAAAGCACGTTGAACACAATTTTTCTGACAGCAATATCGTTACAGGCGAAAGAGAAGAAATAAAAGGCTTTATCATTAATATCAGTATTATATAAATAAAATGAAACCAGATATCTATGTGTGTGTGATGGAAAGCAATTAAAATCAATCTAGATATTAAAAAGGCTTTTTTTCGGCAAAAGAATTAAATCAATACTTGTAAAATATAAAATTAATTCTCGTCAGCTTCATTTCTGTTAAATATAATAGTTTGAAAGTAGAATATAACAGGGGTCTATTAAAATAAAAAATATTATATAAAAATATGCAATGTAAAAAAGTAGGTATCTACAAGACAGCTGCGAGACAACTACAAAATGAGAAGCAGTCGCTTCAAAATTCTGTAAAAATTATCTCGATTTAATTGACTTAATTTTCCTGGTACGTACGTCACGCGAGGCTTATCACGAAGCGCAATATTCTATATGCGATAAACTTACATACACATTGTACGTTTCTATTGCTTGCCGAACAGTCCCTTTTTTCGACGCATCCTGAGAGATGCATCTCGCGCATATCTGATCGATTCGCCGCGCGCGTAATTACGATCGAAATAAGTCAACAACCTGATGCGACAACTTGTTACAAACGGGCTTTACGCGGCTGCAGTGATAAACACGTGAGATTTCGCAAAGAAGTGACCGTTTCTTGCAACCATTAACGACGATGATCGATCGATCTACTGTATCACGCGATATCTGCATAATAATCACCAGACGATTCTATTAACACAGAATATAATCTACGTGTTCTGCGTTGTCATTCGTGAGTAAAAAAGAAACACGTCTCGATATTGATTGCGTTTTAAATGAGAGAAAACTTGAATTCATAATTACACAATTTTAAGATATGTTTTCGAATACAGAGTACGAGAATCGATAAAGATATTGTTGAGTTGTTTCAATTCTACCGCATTAATGACAGACTTGGAATCAATTCAGACTTTAATTCTCCTTTTCATTTTGTAAATTTGCACCTTTTGCCAATTGTAGTTTGATGTTAATTGTAGTTACCGACAGCATCATTGTAATATAATTGCTAACAAATTGACGATGTAAAAAAAAAAAAGAAATGCAATTACAGGTTGCTCTCAGCGGATCGCGGTAACTTGTCGATCTGTCAATGTGCTCTCGCAAATCCTGTTTCATTAACCTAATGCGCTCTCGGAAAGCCCCCTACGAATGAGTGTAACATAATTAAGCGCTTTAACTTGCGATCAGGCCCCGTGAGAGGTGTCGGTGTAAAAAAGCAAACCTCGAATTAATGTCAGTCCAGTTGATCGTCGATGATAACACATTATCTCGTTAAGCTTCGCTCGGTGATCATTAGCGTTTCTCGCTGTTGAATAACAACTGGGATATCGAGATAAAAGTATCAAAGACGTCTCGTTCGAGACGTCGAGATTAAAGAACAGCTACAACTACTTCAACAAAGCATGCAATTATTGAGTCAATTAGATTGAAACCGCAGGATATATTCGATTCAGCTTTTACACAAAGCGATAAGGGGGACATAAAACGTCTTTGCTGATAAAAGATGATAAAAAATTAATTTGAAAAAAGAAGAGAAATCCTGAATCGTTCGTTTGATAATTCTATGGCTTGTAATACTATATATACGATATTCGATAATTTCGCGCTATTCACGTATATTTCACTGAATACAAACTTGATTTTATAACACTATCAACGTATCTATCGCGCGAATTATTAACGTTCAGGGAATATTAATGCGGCTCATGCTATGAATCTAGAATTACGATATATACAATTCATCATATTAACGACAAATAATACGCAAAAAAAAAAAACACAGAAGCGATAAATAACAAAATGTATCGATAATCTTGATCTTAATTATAGCTTGTTCATTTCTGACAACGACGCCGACGACGAACGACAGGTTTTTAGAACAAAATGCTACTCTAGGCTTGTCTCATTAAATTGCTAATAATCTTAGCGGCAGGACATGATAAGAGATCTGATCGAGGGACCGTCGTCCTTACCAGCAGATCAAAGAGGATTCGCGCGAGTATGTCGAAGATGCGATGATGATCAGCGATCAGTTGGCTGATGCCACTGATCTGACTTTATAAATACATGAATATTTTATATAATACTTGTATCGCGAGAAGAGCGCGATAACATCTTGCGCAAAGTTATCTTTTATAAAATATATCAAGCAAATATTCTGCTTCTAAATGTCGTTCCCTAACGATATGCATCTCATTCTTAATAAAATGTAAGCCTCTGTAACAGAATCTTAATTACATTAATATATAATTAACTAGAGCATTTTTGGAATGGCAGCAGATAAATCAACATGCGATAAATCATTTTTCCAGCGCGAGATTCCTTTTCTAAAAAAAAAAAAAAAAAACTACGATGTTAAAATAGAAACATGCTCGGGTTGACGATAATCTAACGGATGAGGTCGATGCGAGTTCGCAGCTACAGGAGGTACGGAACGCGGAAATTACGGGCAATTTCCTTGTTCGAGCGAAAGAGCGATTCTAATCGAGCGACTTGGAGAAATACATTACACTCGTAGACACTCGCGGACCTTGATACTATTCTTGCATTAAGTAAAAATTGCCGAAATAGTAAAATGAGACAGACGAAACGAGATCGTAATCAAAGACCGGTAGATGTTAAGGAGTTCTTTTTTTTTTTTAATTCTTGCAGTGATACAGGATGAGAGGCTTTTATTTATGATAAAGTATGTAATAAAAGCGCGAATGTATTCTATAAGCGTAGTAGTGGTCGCGGTTAAGAGATAATCAGTATTTAACGAGTTCCTGCATGGAATTTTCTTCCTCACTTTACGCATTAATTACAGTGTAACGAACGTATGTTACTTAGTTAATGTAACGCATAATGAAATTACGAATAAGTAGTAATAAATGTAATAGCATTATATGTGTCTCACGAGTGTTCTTGTCCTGAATGATGTCGCAAAAAGATCAATTTCCGAAGTCGAGAAGTTCTCTAATGATTTCTTACCTGCAACAGAAATAAAATGGTTCATTAATTTTGACTAACGAAGAAATACGAATTAATTTATTTAACTCTTGATCGACTCGATGAGTTTTTAATTAAGATTAAGATCAAATTTTTTTTAAAAAAACCTTTACTGTAAAGTGACGTTTCGATCGAATCAGTCAATTCTATATGAATTCGGAGACAATCTTTACGAATTGACAGGAGGATCTCCGAGAAATTTCGGAGATTCTCATTCATTTCGGGATGTTAGATTAAAGATAGTCTTTCTTCTTATCAGAGACTAGCAGTAGCAGTTATTAGGTCACGAAATTTCACTGCGATTGCCGATTCGAAATCGTTTGCGCGGTGGCGATTTTCTACGGAATTTAAGCGGCGCTAGATAAAGTCCCGGTTGGAACAAAGTACGACGGGGAGGTTAGCCTTAAGCCCTCGGGACTGGCTGCGAGATAAGAGTCCAATGTACGACACAGTACGTTTCTCTTCAGCCACGAAATGCACACACCGGCACGGTGAGTAAAAACGTTCGCGATGAAAATCGCGGAAATGTAGTTTGGCATAAAAAGACTGTCTGAGAGATGGAAAAGAGGGATTGCGAATAGGAGGGTGTATATAGTAATATCATGTCATTTTATTATATGTTGGTATAAAAAGAGATAAAGTACACTCAATAAGAAATAGAACAAAAGAGAGCAATAACTTAAATGTAATAGAAATAGAATAACAAAAAAACTATGGAAAAATACGTTAATGAAAATACAAGCGATACGATTTTTGACTTTAATGAGAGTGGCGCGGCGCAGAAATATGCTACACATTATAATGATTATTATACTATTAATCATACAAATTCAATATAATCATTATTGTCCGATAATCATCTTACTAATTGGTATCAAAATTATACATTTTAATGAAAATTATCAAAATATATAATTTATCAAACATATAACATGGCAGAGAATAATATGGAGTTTTCGCATTACGAAGCTGTCTCTAATTTTAGTATATTATCTTTCACAAAATGTAAGCTAAAATCTTCTAGCAGAAGCAAAAGAACCCGCAGGAAAATGCTTGTTACCGTCGATATTCGAAGCCAAATAGAAAACTCTCAAGGATAAAATCTAAAGTGAAGTGATGGGAAAAATTCGATGTTTTTCCGCGTCTATGACGTAAAGAAGCTTGACGAGCTACGATTGGACGGAGCTAAGAAGATCACCATTTATTCCGGTCGACAATAGGAAGAGTCGACTCCCCTTCCGGAACAGGAAGGAGAATCGATGTATCGACCACGCGACGGTGAACATTTGCATAAGAAACGGAGTTTCAAAGTGGCCGAGTTTCAACTTCCTTCTTCCACGAATCAACGAGCGATTTTCCCGGACATTAATGGCACGACGCCAGGTCGCGGCCTATAGATAATCGATACTGCCTATCATGTCGTGCTCTTGGCGTCCTGTGCAAAAAAAGAAATAAAATAGAGAGAGAGAGAGAGAGAGAAACAACAGCCCCGATGTGCCGGGGATAGGAAGAGCCATTCCCCTTCCTTCTCGTCCCCAGAGAAAAATAGAGAGTGGAAAAAAGGAAGAGGGTAGGATCCGGACCACGTCGATTTTTCCAACAACAGCAATAGGAGGAGGCGTGCGGGTCTCCTGCTGCCGTTCGCAAGCGGCGTATCCAATAATTCACGTGACAGCAGGACCACCGTTCGCTTTGTCGTCTCACGGGTGCGATTTATGGCCTGCGTTTTGTAAGGTAAAGTCGCCTCTTTCAGCGCAAAAGGCCGAGCGTTGCGTTTGGCAACCGTGAGCTCGCGCGTGATGATTGACGCAGTTCGGGAGCGCGTAATGCGAATGGCGAATTGTAACGCGAACATGTGTCGACAAGGATCGTACAATACTCGTCCTTTTGTAGTTACGTGAAGAAGACCGACGTTCTGAAATTTTTTCGCGTGCTGAAAAAGATCGTTCTAGATGGTAAATTTGGGCACCGATGTACTCGTGAGTTAAAATTACTGTAGTTTTGCACTTTAGCGCGAGTACGTGATCGAATTTCATCGCCGCTGCAAAACGGACGTAAAGTCGGCCATCTATTCCGAATTTCAACGTGAGAAAACGACCGGCCGCTATCAGATAACGAAGCTCCTCCGTTAAACTCGACCGAGTTTAGTAAGCTGGCATATCTCATTGTTCTAATCTTAGACATCTGACTGCATCTACGTCTCGACCCATCTCTGCCTGGCTTATACGCTAGGCATTACGTTAAGGACGTCGTTCCGACGATGATCTACGGCCCCGCTTTAATATCTTATTACTGTAGATGAAGAGCTTCAATTCTTGAAAATAATTTTCTCGCCACGCGTACACGCATTATGTATGTGTGCGTGTACGGCGCTTAGGATCGGCATTATGGCGTAAATTGCGCGGCTTTCTGCGGAACGGTGGATATCCTACGCGGAGATAATTTCCGTTCGCTTATCGCCGAGCAAGTCTCATCTTTATTTCATGAGCTACGCGCGAGAAATACATACTGATATACATTTTATATATATATATATGTGTGTGTATGTATGTGTATACATACTTATTTTAAGTTATTTATTTCAACTGTTATGTCTTAATTTATTTTTATTTCAGGTTACAATATAAAATCAAGTAGCACGATAAAACATTCAAACGCAGCCAGAGGTATACAATATATTTCTCAAAGGCATTTAAGATATAAGCAGTAATAATATAAATTATGAACTGCGAAAGTGATTCGAGATGTAAACTACCAACGATGACTTTAACGAAATTCCTTGGAAAAGAAATTTACGGCGAATGCACGTGGCATCGCATTAATATCTCTCAGTAACAAAACGGAATAACGAGCGGACGCGCGAGAGGCTCTTTCCAACTTTTAATTAATACTGCCTCCGACCGTCGTCGTCGTCGTCGTCGTCGTCGTCGTCGTCGTCGTTGCCGTCGTCGTCGTCTGGACGCGAAGTTTTAGCAAACAAAATTCATCCTTCAAAAGGATGGCAGGGATATGCTTGACTGCAATGAGCAGTGGTCGTTAGTTTGATATAATTTCTAGCAGCAGCAACAGCAGTGCAGCGGTTCGAGATAGCTCGTTTCGTTCGAGTAAAGGGAAGCTTTGAAAACAGATCAAAGTAACCGCGTTACGCTGCGCGCGGCTATTTACTTCAAGAGCGAGACCGAAGATCAATTACAGAAACGTTTCCAATGGGGTTTCCCGATTAAATCCGCCACGGCTACAGACGCCGCCGCTTGCTCGGTCCTGAATTACATTCGCAACATCCGTAAAACGACAAGCGCGATTCTCTCACCCTGATCATTTCACGCCGGATAATAAATTGAATACGTACCGCAGGTCGAACTTAGGAGTGAGGATAAGCACGGATTAACGTCGAATTACTTGTCGCCTGTTCGTCCACCTGGGATTCTTTCCGCTTCGCGCGGCTATGCATAACCGATTGTTGAAATATGACAAGTGTATATTATTTCCCGCTTCTCTCTGACGTATTTCGTTAAACTGTAGGGAAGAACGTATGACGAATAAAATAAAAGAATGTTCACGCTTGATATTATTTGGAAAATCTCGAGATTTCAATAAAGACTTTTTTCTCTACATAATAATCTGTTAGAGTCAAAATATCTCTCATAACTACATTCATTACATTTATCTGTTCCATACAAATTATCACATTCGTTGCTTGAAATGATTCACAGTCGTAGCGAATTAATGCATAACCGACTGTCAATATAATGTCAAACTGCATTAATTTTCATTAGGTCTCATCACTTTGAACAATTGACGGTGGTCGAGGTATCGTATCATAACATTGATGAACAAAGGGAATATGTGTCGATATTATTCGATACTCATACACTACGATTTAACAAAACCGAATCGCGCAAAGAGCAATTGATAGGGTTGGAGATCGCTACGTTAAACACGACTAAATCGTAGTGACCAGTTTTATTGGTCGGTGACAATCAACTGATGATACCTTGCGTTCGTGCGGATCGGTGTAATGCAATTCGTCTGATCAATTAAACGCTGTAACACGCGGCCTTTTTTGTTCTCTATCATATCGCGCGGAAACATGATCGAATTTTTCAACTGTCCCGCTTCGTTTTTTACGATTTCGCCGCGCGGTTAAGTGTTCACAATCATGTCTCTATAAAGCGTTCCGTTGGCAATCCATGAAATTTTGATGTCCGAGTTTGTGAGGATAAAATACTGCGTAGAATTTTTCCGAGAAATTTCAAATAACAAATGTATAATATTGAAAATTGAGGATACTTTCGTAAAGTGAGTTGTTTCACAATCAAATATGTAATAAAATCTCGATTTTTCGGTTAATTTTAGGTAAATTTTATGTCGAAAATTCTATCGAGATCGTACTAACTAGGTAATTAAAAGATAATTAATGTTAAATATTACAAATTTTGCATGATAAACTAATTTAACTTTGAATATGTAATTCCAAATTGTAACAGCAAAGTTTCGAGGTTACACTTATGTTTGGCTATAATAGAACGGTCCATATAAAATGTGTTACGCGGACACGATGGCTCAAGGAGAACCGTGTGAAGCTGAATGTAGGTACAAGGTAACCGGAGATTCAGTGGATCACGCGTCGCAGCTCTTTAAGAGTTACGAGGCCGCTAATTTTTACACTTATCGAATAAGCGAATTCTTACCAAGCGAAACGGGGCGGTGACGAGAACACGTCATGTACGAAAGAAATCCTTCAGGCGCTCTAAAAAGTGCATTACGTATTAACGCGCGCCTCGCAGTGACGCTAACATTTTAATTGTACCGAAGGACTTATCGAATGGATTATCCAGAACGAATGAAGGAAACACCAAAATTTCAGAGTATCGTCGAAAACACGCAAAAGAACGATCTGTAAATCACGCAGAGAAATTTAATCCTCTATCTGCAATTTGAGTTTGTTTTGGCATCAACGAAATTTCAACTCTCAAATTTCT